TATTTCATTTAATTTAAAATTCTATTTTCTCTTCCAACCTTTCGATTTAAACTTCTTAACTTAATACATTTTACATTTCGTTATTTTTTTTTATATGTATATTTAACTTTTTAATATTTTAATAAATTGCTTAAATATTTTTAGTAGTATAATTTACAGTTTAGTCTCATAGTTAAGTTAGAGTCACTCAAGTTCAAATAATTATAGTAATATTTGAAGTTCATGGTAGTTGCACTCAACAGTTCGAGGTTAGTGTTGAAGTCTACTTAATAGTTACATCTTTATTGCCGAGTTCATAGAGTATAATCTCGTGGCGCCCTTTTATTAATATCTTTGAACTCCGACCACCAGGCTGTTAAAATTAAAAAGCTAGTGGCCTCTGTGCAACTCATTCTGCATTAAGTAAACTTGTGTTTTATTGAACTTCAAATTAGAAAGGGCGTGGCATTGTATGGAAAAATTCATAATACAGTGCAAGTTTTTAGGAAAAAAACCAAGAGGAATTTTAACAGCTGGTTTATCCCAATGGATAAACTGCACACGCTGGTACGCAAAGTACCACTGCACACGCTGGTACGCAAAGCACCAGACAATATACCCACATAAAATTAACCTGATCACCACACATTTCTCTTGTAGGAATAAAGACAAGAGGGATACAAAAATTTAAAATTTCAAGTTAGATGTTTGGCATGGAACAAAAATGTAAAGATGTCTTCTTGTTTAAATCAGACAAGAGTCACATTACTCGCTTAATTTTCCAATTTTCCTCTACCAACTCTACTTTTTTCCTTTTTTCACCACCATTTCCTTTTTTCTCTTACTTTTCGGACATTATTTCGACCTCTGAGAGCGGAAATAAAGATAAGACCCCAACCCTTTCACTGTCCTGATTCCTTCCACGTTATTAAAATGTCGATTTAGCGTCGGCGAGCGGCAAAAGTGAAAAATGAGAATTTAATTAGGCGGAAAACCGCCCTTGAACGGCGCTACGCGTTAAAAAAGGCCCGATAAAAGGTGGGGAAGATTAAAAAAGAACACCAAAAGTTAAGAGATGAAACAGCGTTGCCAACTGCAAGGATATTGCTCTGTGGTATTGGATTATTCGTTTCATTTAAATATCAAACAATAAATACAGTTAATACCAAATAAATTTTCAGTCACGTGATTAAGCTTGACCGACACAGCGTTGCCCACTTTTATATATTTTCTTTTAATCAAAATATTTTAGGAAACAAAAATAAATTAATTATAAATATACAGGGTTGTTCACCACATACGACACGGAGTATTGTAGCTAAACGATTAGATTTTTACAAATTGTAAGTTTTGGGTTCGTTGAAGGTCTATTAGAGCTACAATTTAAACATATTTTTACAAGATACACAGTGTCCCAAATAAGTAAAAAATATTATAGTTGTATTTTTTTAAATAGAACACCCTGTATATTATTCTATTTTTGGATTCTACGATTGAAATAAAGGTAAATTTGATTAAGGTTTATCACACTTAAACCTTACAGTTTTTGAAATATTTTCAATTTTATAAAATTGCAGTAAAAAATTTAAGGCTTTATTTCTCCAAGGGTATCAAAGTTTTTAATACTTAATATTTACTGAAGATTATTTATTGATCAGATATTGTGTCCAAAAATTTATATTAAGTAATTACTAGTTTTAAACGGCAATAATTTGTTTAATTTAAACGGAACACCCTATATATTTTACGTGAATCAGATGCACAATGTAATTGTCTATCAAATTGTATTGTTCCATTTTTTACCCATCTCTTCAAGTTTTTATAAAAAATGCATTTTCTTATAATTTAGACCTCATTTATCACTATACCCATGGAACATTGACATTTTAGCGTATTTTTGAAAATGTAACAAATTTTCAAAGGGTACAGATTATTTAATTAAACAATAAAAAAAACTGTTTAAATATTTTTTGTTAAAGAGGACCAATTAATATGATGCCAGTATTCAAACTACATTAATTGACTGTTTACGTTGTAGTAATAATTGCTCCAAATATTAAAAAACTAAATTTTGTGTGTGTATTAGACAGTGTGGTAAAAAGTAACACCTTATAAATTTTATTTCATTTATTTACGAATGCTTATTTATAAAAACAGAGACATTCATTTTTATATATTATTATTATATTGATTTCTGAGCCAAATCCACATTTATTTAGAATGTTTTATCAATTAAAACAATTTAAACGTATGTAATTAACTAATTTTTGGTATTTTTGGTAGGAAATAATGGTGGTATATTTAATTGGTACACACTTTTACAAAGATTTAAATAGTTTTTTTTGTATGCCAATGGGCTTGCAATATTTACCACCTGTACAATTTGTACATATTATGGTGCTATAAAAAAATCTGAAATGTCAATATTCCATGGGTATAGTGATAAATGAGGTCTAAATTATAAGAAAATGCATTTTCTACGAAAACTTGAAGAGATGGGTAAAAAACGGTATAATACAATTTGATAAACAATTATATTGTGCATCTGATTCACGTAAAATATATAGGGTGTTCCATTTAAATTAAACAAGTTATTGCCGTTTAAAGCTAGTAATTATTTAATATAAATTTTTGGACACTCTGTATAAGGTAGTAAAATTTTTATTATTGCAACACAATATCTGATCAATAAATAATCTTCAGTAAATATTTAGTATTAAAAACTTTAATACCCTGGGAGAAATAAAGCCTTAAAATTTTTACTGCAATTTCATAAAATTGAAAATATTTCAAAAAGGGTAAGGTTTAAGTGTGATAAACCTTAATCAAATTTACCTTTATTTCAATCGTAGAATCCAAAAATAGAATAATATATAGGGTGTTCCATTTAAAAAAATACAACTATAATATTTTTTACTTATTTGGGACACTCTGTATCTTGTAAAAATATTTTTAAATTGTAGCTCTAATAGACCTTCAACGAACTCAAAACTTACAATTTGTAAAAATCTAATCGTTTAGCTACAATACTCCGTGTCGTATGTGGTGAACAACCCTGTATAAACAGTTATTATTTACATCAACAAAACTCACCTTCTTAACCGCACTTAAGAGACATAAAAGGCCATAATTACTACCGCTTTCCCGTTCAAAATATTCTAATAAAGTTGCGATGAGTTTTTTACGGCTATTAAGCTATCTTGTACACTTCACACTAAAAGAGGTTCTAAAAAGAACAATGTTCGACTGCAAGGTCTGCTAGTAAACATTTTTAAGCTTAAAGTAGCACAACACTATTTATTTAAACCAAAAATTCGTAATACAAAACTAAAGTGTCGAATGGCAATGTCAGGAAATAAACAAATAAAACTTGATATTTTTTACAGCAGAGCTACCACCTGAATCCCCAGCGGCAAATTTAAATTCCAGTTAGTCAGCCCGGCGCCGAAGTTAGTCAGCCCGGCGCCGAATATCTCTATGGTTGGCAACAATGAATTTAAAAATCGCGCCCTTGATTAGGTAACTAAAAGTTTACTTGATATCAAATATATATCAATTTAATTATTAATTCATTATCATTATCAGGTCCTTTTGCATTTAGATTGCACGCGAAACGGGTATTTTGCGTGCAATCTAAACAAAAAAAATAATCCCAGAGATTAACCAACGCAATCAAAATACGCCGTAGGCTATATTCCTTACAGCTGTAAAAAAATAAAAACAGCTGTAAAAAATATAAAAAAGTTCTATATTTGTGGGGACCAAATACGTTTAAATAAAATATACGACGGCCTACCCATAAGAGCAATGAGAGGATTTACGTCCCAGTATTGAAGGACAGAAAATCTCGAGTCGAATGGTTTCAAGACATAAGTTCATCCTTGTTTAGTCAAACCTCCTACAACACAAGGATAGACTTATATAGGAAATGCATTGAAATTCTATAGCCATCCTTCAATATCGGGACAGGAATTTAAGCGGTACCCTCCGTATATTTTACTCTCTACTCCGTAAACGTATTTGGTGGGGACCGAACCTGGGACCCTTTGGTCCCGAAACGACCGCCTTACCAATGGAACCACAGCTGCTTTTGTAACCAGGCTAGAATTAGGCATTACTTAATGCGGAAAGCTTTTCGTTCCGTGTAACGAAATATTATAACAGAGCACACGTTAACGTGCACCTAGCCACAATATTTTTAATATTACAAATATAGCGTTTTCCCTCCGTCTAAAAAATGAAGTAATTTTAAATTTGACGTTATTAAAGCTTGTCTCAATGAACTGTATCAACTATGTAGCTTTCAAGAGTTATGTGATACTGACAACGGTCAGTGTCACATGACCCTTAGTTACGGCCAACTGCGACTGATCAGTATTCCCAACGTTTCTTTTTGTTTAACTCCCGGAAGCGTTTAGGTAAACGTCCCAGGATATCGGATTAAAAGGACTTAAAGCAACGATATCGGACGTAAATTCCTGGTAATGTCCAACGCTTTGATTTCTGAGTTTGTCTTATTTGATTTGTGAACTATTAAAACAGAAATGACAATGTATTCATTTGAGGGATTTAGATTATGGCAATTCTCTTGAAAATAAAAAAAGCATTTAATAAAAATAAGTTATATTTGACTAATAAACCTCGCAATTCAACGAATAAATTAGTGTCTTCAATTAGCGTAGAAGTTTGTTCCTTTAATTTCAATGTAAGCATTCAGAACGTCAAAATTAGTGGTAGACATTTTCAATTAGTAGAAAAAGTTGGATGACCGAACGAACAACTGATTTAATAGAATCCCGAAGACAGAAAATTATCTCAAAATCAATTACTCCAGAAGACAAGAAAATCCTTGATAAAGAAATTCAAAGGGCATGTAGGAACGACAAAAATAAACACATTGCAAGAGTATGGAGAGCTAGAAGAACATGCAAATAACAACAGAGCTCACGAACTCTATGACAAAGTGTCTGTCTAGAGAATTTAGGCCACAGACACAAATAATAAAAAATGATAATGGAGAGATGATTAGAGACACCAGAGGCATAACAAAAGTATGGAGAGAGTATTGCGAAAAACTGTTCTACGAGAGAGATAAAGATGAATGTCATACCCCAGAATTTGAAACGATTGACAGAGAACCTACAATTCTGAAGGCTGAAGTGGAAAAGGCTATTAGATCTTTAAAAAACAATAAATCACCTGGTGAAGATGGAATATCCGCTGAGACCATTAAATCTATGGATGATCTTGGCATCGACACATTTCACAAACTGTGTGTTATGATATGGCAAACTGGTAAATGGCCAAGGGAATGGTGTGAGTCGATATACATGCCGTTGCACAAGAAGGGCTCTCCGACATATTGTAGCAATTATAGAACAATAGCGCTTATGTCACACGCAAGTAAAATTCTACTCCATATCATAAATGATCGCTTAAAGCATTTTTTGCTCCCACAGATCCCTGACGACCAAACAGGGTTTATGCCAGGAAAAGGAGAATGAATCTCTGAATGCTAACATTGAAATTAAAGGAGTAACGTTTTACGCTAATTGAAACCACTAATTTATTCCACAAATTGCGAGATTTCGAATGAAACTTTTAACTTTTCCACTAATTTTACTTCAAAATTTGCGAGAAATGTCATTTTGGTCTTTGATTATCTTCCGTCAAGAAATTGTGGTTAGAAATCAAAAGTTGATTGTTTTCTTTGAATAAGAAGACTAAGGAAGGAGCATATCAAAAATCTTAGGTACACCGCGATGGGCCTCAAATATGGTCGACTTAAATTCCGGTTTATCAGTGTCGTTCTAATTTTATTGAATAAATGTAAAACTATGATGTAGGGTAGACGTGGGGTAGACTCAATAATTTGTTGTTTTATTTTACGTTGTGAATAAATGTTGGTAGTTATTAAAATTGTTATAAAAATATATAATTCTAATAAAAATAGATAAGTTATAATAAGTATTTATTAACACAAACATCCGATACGCTACTGAAGCAGGTAAGTCAAATTAACGTATCTAAATTCTTTGACATCTAATCTTTGACAAGTAATAAATAAAAGCTAAAATGCAAAGAAAAATATATAATTTAGTTAATTTAAGTGAATTTCATAAATGATCGGTTTACTACACGTATGTATATTATATTGTCACTTACTAGCGAAAAATTGTTCCATTATTTCACTTAATTTTTGCCGAGATCTACCGCACGCTACACAACCAACTATTTTAGAGTCTTTTTCGATAAATCGCGATAGTGTCACTGTTAATTTAAGTTCTGCCACAATTTCCATCTAGATTTACTACCTTTATACAACTATCAGTAGTAGAATAAATAATAAATAACATATATTAAGCTCCGTAAAGACTGACAAATCCACAAAATTTCAAATCAAATTCAAATGTGTCAAATGAATCGTCAAACAGAACTGTCAAGGATCCCCACCCTAGAGTGCTTTTATGGTGCTTTTTCCGCCCACCATGCATGAATACATGGATAGCATGGTACAAAGAATACAAGGTATGATCGATAGCGGCTCCAATTTCGTTCCGTTCGCGCCTACCACCTGTGACGTCACTAGGAAAATAATGAATCAAAGATTCAAAGTAATGAATAAATAAAAAATAAAGAAAGTTGACAGGAGAGAATGGTTAAGAATTGTTTATTTTTAAGACTTTTTAGTTCGTTTAATTTAATAATTACTAAAACCAGCAGTTCCAAAAATATATTTAAAAATAATAATTATCTATTAACATGGATTTGGACGATAATAGGTAAAAATACTAAATTTATTTCTATATTCGGTATAAAATTGTTTATTAGGTTTTTAGTTTGCGATGTTTATGGTAAATAATTTTCATTTTTATTGCCTCTGAATTCACATGAGGACAGAGATGAGGATATCTATGGAAAAGTGACCACAAGAGGAATTGTTACATCATTTAAAAAATGTTGGGAAGTTTATTGTTTCCCATCGAAAAGTAGAAAATGCCAATGCAGATGAACGTATTGTAATTGTGATAGAAGTAATTCCAAGGGTGAAGTTTATTATAATTAGTGGAAGTAATACCAAGGGTGAAGTTTATTATAATTAGTGACCTGTGCTTCTTTTTATATGTAGATGTTTCTGGTTTTGAGAATAAATCGGTTGAAGGACACCCAAAATTTAAAGGAAGTATTTGCATACCCAGAATATGCCCATCAAGGGTTATATAGCTCAAATTTCCTTTAATGGTAGGCAATTATTCAATGCAAATTAACTTTTTAAGTGACTGAAATATTAAATAGTTTACAATATGGTATATCACTAAAAATATATTACTTTTAGGTTCAATTAGGGCCCGATACATTTCAAAAAGTAGAATATTATTTTATATTAAATGAGGTATTGTACTAACAATCAATTTATATTAATAACGGAATAAATAGTTCTTTTTTTTTATACTACAAAAATAAACCATAGAATACAACAGTATTTAAAAATAAATAAAAAGTGATGTTCCGGCCGAGATTCGAACTCCGGTCTCTCGCTTCCTAGCCCGACTCCTTATGCACTGCTCCACAGTAACTTGCTTAGCGATAATTCAATGACGGTATATAAACAAAAAAACAGGTTTATAACAATATCTTGACGATTTGAACTGGCGCGCGGAGCGTGCTGACCAATAGCGCCTGTTATCACCTGTGACGTAGCGACCAACCTGCGCCATATCATACCTTGTATTCTTTGTACCATGCATGGATAGCATTATGCTCCTTCCTTAGTCTTCTTATTCAAAGATTGTTTTATAAGGTAAATATTAGGCTTTCTCTGTGGATACAACTGACTAACGCAAGCTGTTGCTAGGATATTATATTAATTTTAATTGTGTTTTTAGACATTGTGAATGATCGTAAACTAAAAAGTATAAAGTTAGATTGAAACCAGTAATTTATTCCACTAATTGCGAGTTGCGAGGTTCCGAATGAAGCTAATTAAAAATTCCCTTTGAGGAAGATTTATATTATGTATACAACATTGATATGAAATGTTTCACCTGTTTTAATAATGACTAAGGTAAATAAAACGACTTTTACGTTTATTTGGAATGGCGTACCAGACAAAGACTTGCTGGGTTGACAAGTGGGGCGGCAACATGCAACGCAATACGTTTTTAATATGAAAATGGAGCCGAAGTATTCGTAAGTCATTAGGTTTGTTCCCAGTAGAATCCCTGACTAGTCAGCACGTTTTTCATTGGTTAAAATGCGTAGAAACCTGATTGTTAGTCAGGTTTCTACGCATTTCAACCAATAATAAACGCGCTGACTAGTCAGAGATTCTTCTGGGAACAGACCTATTGTACACAGAATTCATAACGTTAGAGATTGTAACGTAGATTAGATTGCGCAGTTAATTATTTGTATAACGTATAATTATAAATGCAAGGAATAATTAAAATCTTAGATAAGGGATTTATTTGGATGGCGGTCAATTTTTTTCTGGTATGCATAGATAATTTTTTTTGTGGCCGATCGTAGCGAAAGCAGTAGTGTGTCTATCTGCGGTCCAAGAGGTACTATCCCAAGCAGCATTTGGACGTCGGGACAACGTTGTGTCACGCGACCAAACGTCGGGGCGTAACGTCGGCACAACCTCGTGCCAACCCTAGTCTGCACTAGTTTGGAGAATAATTTTTAGGTCGAAACGACATTGGATACCTACGTTGGCTAGCAGTCTAATTTAGTACAAACTGCAACGTTGTTTAAAATCCTAATTCACAGAAATACAAAACTATAATAATATGGCGTCTAAGTCGCGTTTTATCCTAAATTGGGATAATTATAGTAAAAATATTACTTTTATGATTTAGTTAGAGACATATGCCAGATGGCAGTAAAGGAAAACAAAACAAAAGTATTTAAGTGTGGAGGATGTTTGAAGATCATAATTATTGAAACACTTTAACCAACTTTGTAACTCGTTACCCAAGCCAAAAAATTTAAACGCAAACAACTTTATTGATAAATATTGTTTCTGCTTTGAAAAATACTAATGGGCCTTAAAAATAAAGAAGTTTTAAAAAATTTCTTGATTTTTTTTAGTAAAATGAGAATAATTTATTCGCAGTCGAAAAAAAATGTTTCCGCGTGTTGTTTAGGGTCAAATACTTCAAGTTAATGTATTCAAAAAGCAGGAATTGCTATTTTAGGAACGAAACATTTTCTTATTCAACAACATGGCGGGTTTCACTTTGTTGTTTTGGAGATTAAGATGGAGTAGTTAGAGTAGTCGCATACTGGACTAATAAAGTCGCAGTTCAGCCTTAACAGGTAGTATACTAGATACTAGTCGCAAGATTGCCTAATTTAGCCATCCTAGAATCTAGCTTGTGCCGCCCTCTATATTCTAAATAAACGAGGGAGTGGATAAAGTATCGGTAATATGTCGATGTATATTTAAATTTAGTTTTATATGTGAATTTCTTACGTCCCATTTTAATTAAGTTTTTTTATAAAAACAAAAACAGCACTGAACTGTCTCACTGAACAGAACAATGAAGTGAAAATTTAAGATTTAAGGTTATGGTTCAATACAGTTGTAAAAAGGTAATGGCTCGACGTCCTACCAACGTAAGAATAAGGAAATCTTAACAACGTTGGAATTAGTAAAACAGACGACGTTTGCGCAACGTTGGAATAGGTTCTGAAAGTGACGTCGGAAAACTCTTTATTGCCCAACATTGTAACTACGTTGTCCGAATCACCTAAAGATCACTTAAGCAAAAAAGGTTACAAGACAACGTTTATTCGACGTCGCAGAAGCTTTTACTTTGTTGTAGTACTAGTTTAACGTCGGCAAAACGTTACAACAACGTTTACATTTATTTTAATACCCAAGGTACGGAGCTAATTTCTAATTTCTGTTTTCTTTAAATTTTTTGTAACTAATCCAACGTTGTGTATAGTAAACATGTGGTCGCAAGTCGTGAAAATGCTACTTGGGATGTTTGGTACTATGTTCGATCCCCAGTCAGTACGGTCGCTTTATTTATTTAAATAAAAATATTGATTTATCTAAATAGAGCGACCAGCGAGCCGCCACCTCAATGAAGATAATGGCAAACCACCTCGAGTATATTTGCCTTGTACAGGCTCTCAAATAGTGCCGTTCGGATTCGGTGATAAACTGTAAGTCCCGTGTACTTGTGAAACACTGATGACATCACAAGTAACAGGTACATGCGAGAGGTAGCCGACGCTCTGTATAAAGTATGGCCATGAATATTATGACAAAGCCACGATTTCAATATTATTTTAATGCGATCAACATACGGCGCGGCCGCGTGAAATACATACTGATAGTTTCTAATTTCTGTCATTGAAGCGCTACGGTCGGAATTTGGTGAAATCAC